CCAGTTTTCACAGCACCATTTATTGAAAAGACTGTCTTTTCCCCATTATGTATTCTTGCCTCCTTTATCAGAGACTAATTGACCATATAAATATGGGTTTATACCTGGGCTGTCTATTCTGTTCTATTAATCTATGTGTCCATTACATGCTGTTTTGATTACTATAGCTTTATAGTATATCTTGAAATCTGGAATTATGATACCTCCAGCTTTGTTCTTGTTTCTCAGTATTGCTTTGGCTATTCAGGATCTTCTGTGGTTCCATACAAATTTTAGTATTATTTGTTCTAGTTTTGTGGAGAGATGTTGTTGGTATTTGATAGGGATTGCCCTGAGTCTGTAGATTGATTTGAGTAAAATGGGCATTTTGATAATATTAATTCTTCTAATCTGTGAGCATGGGATGTCTTTCCACTTCTGTTAACTTCAATTTCTTTCATCAATGTTTTATAGTTTCCAGAGAAAAGCTCTTCCACCTCTTTGGTTAAGTTTATTCCTAGGTATTTTATTCTTTTTGGTGCAATTGTAAAAAATTGTTTTTAAAATTTCTCTTTATGCAACTTTGTTGTTAATGTATAGACATCCTATGAATTTTGGTATTAATTTTGTATCCTGCCATTCTACTGAATTTGCTTATTACTCTAGTAGTTTTTTTGTGGAACCTTTAGGATTCTATGTATAGTATCATTGTTGTCTGCAAATAGTGAGAGTTTAATTTCTTTAGCAATATGGGTGCCTCTTCTTTTTCTTGTCTGATTGCTGTGGCTGGGACTTCTAGTACTACATTAAATAAAAGTGGTCAGAGTGTACATCCTTGCCTTGTTCCTGACCTTAGAGGGAAAACTCTCAGTTTTTCATCATTGAGGATAATATTAGTTGTGAGTTTTATATATGGCCTTCATTATGTTGAGGTATGTTACCGCTAACCCCATTTTGTTGACAGTTTTTATCATGAATGGATATTGAATTTTGTCAAATGCTTTTTCTGCATCTATTGAGATGATCATATAATTTTTATCATTTGTTTTGTTGATGTGATGTATCACGTTGATATGTGAACATGGAACCATCCTTGCACCCTAGGAATAAATCCCACCTGATCATGGTGAATGATCTTTTGAATGTATTGTTGAATGAGGTTTACTAATGTTTTGTTGAGGATTTTTGCATCTATGTTTATCAGGGATACTGGCCTGTAGTTTGTGTGTGTGTGTGTGGTGTCTTTGATTTTGGTAAAGCTGGCCTCATGGAATGTATTTGGAAGCTTTCCCTCTTCTACTTTCTATAATAGTTCGGGAAGAATAGGTATTAATTTTTCTTTAAATGCCTGGTAGAACTCACTTGTGAATCCATCTAGTCCTAGACTTTTATTTTTTGGTAGTTCTTTTAATTACCAGTTCAATTTTGTTACTTGTAATCAGTTTGTTCAGATTTTATATTTCTTCCTGGTTCAGTTTTGGAAGAAGATGGTATGTTTCTAGGAATTTATCCATTTCTTCTAGGTTGTCCAGTTTGTTGGCATATAATTTTTCATAGTATTCTCATAATCCTTTGTATTTCTGTGGCATCAGTTGTTACTTCTCCTCTCTCATTTCAGATTTTATTTATTTGGATCCTTTCTGTTTTTCTTCATTAGTCTGGCTAACGGTTTGTCAGTTTTATCTTTTCAAAGAACCAGCTCTTGGTTTCATTGATTTTTTTTTTCTATTGTGTTTTTAGTCTCTACATCATTTATTTCTGCTCTGATTTTTATTATTTCTTCTACTCCCCTTGGGATTTGTTCTTATTTTTCTAGTTCCTTTAGGAGTAAGGTTAGATTCTTTAAGTTTTTCTTGTTTCTTGAAGGAAGACTGTATTACTATATATGTCCCTCTTAGGATGGCTTTTGCACTGTTCCAGAGATTTTTTTTTTTAAGATTTTATTTATTTATTTGACAGAGAGAGACACAGCGAGCGAGGGAACACAAGCAAGGGGAGTGGGAAAGGAAGAAGCAGGCTTCCCACTGAGCAGGGAGCCCGATGCAGGGCTGGATCCCAGGACCCTGGGATCATGACCTGAGCTGAAGGCAGACACTTAACAACTGAGCCACCCAGGTGCCCCTGTTGCAGAGATTTTGAACCACTCTATTTTCATTCTCATTTGTCTCCATGTATTTTTTTCTTCTTCTTTGATTGTTTCATTGACCCACTGGTTGTTTAGGATCATGTTGTTTAGTCTCCACATGTTTGTGTTTTTTCTAGTTTTTTTTCCTTGTGATTTATTTCTAGTTTCATAATGTTGTTGGAAAAGATTCATGGCATGATCTCAATCCTCTTAAATTTATTGAAGTATGTTTTATGGCATAATATGTGATCTATTCTGGAAAATGTTTCATGTGCACTTGAAAAGAGTCTATATTTGGTCATTTTTGGATGGAATGTTCTGTATATATCTGTTATGTCCATCTGGGCCATTGTGTCAATCAAAGACATTGCTTCCTTATTGATTTTCTGTCTGGATGATCTATCTATTGATGTAAAAGGAGTGTTAAAGTCCCCTACTATTATTGTACTATCATCAATTTCTCTCTTTATGTCTGTTAATAATTGCTTTATATGCTTTGTATTTAGGTGCTCCAGTGTTGGGTGCATAGATTTTACAACTGTTATAATTTCTTATTGGCTTGATCCCTTTATCATTATGTAATGCCTTTCTTTGACTCTTATTACAGTCTTTGTTTTAAAGTCTATTTTGTCTAATATAAGTATTGCTACCCTGGCTTTTTCTTTTTTCTCATATCCGCTTTCATGGTAAATGTTTTTCTATCCCTTCACTTTCAGGCTATATGGATCTTTAGGTCAGAGGTAAGTCTCTTGTAGATACCATTTAGATGGGTCTTTTTTTTTTCTTAATCCATTCTGCCACTCTATGTCTTTTGATTGGAGCATTTAGGCCATTTACATTTAAAGTAATTATTGATAGGTATGTACTTATTGCCATTTAAAAAATTCATTTTCTGATTGTTTTTATAATTCCTCTTTGTTCCTTTCTTATTCTCTTTCTGTCTTTCTTTGTGATAGATGAGTATCTATAGTGTTTTGGTTGGCTTTGTTTTTTTGTGTGTGTGTCTCTATCACAGGTTTTGGGTTTGTGGTTATCATGAGATTTATATATAACATCCTAAGTAAAGAGCAGTCCATATTAATTTGATGGTCATTTAAATTCAAACACATTCAAAAAAGAAAAAAAAAGTAAAAATAAAGTAAAAAATCTTTTTTCTTTTCCCCTTCTCTTCCCTTTTTACTCCCTTCTTCACATTTTATGTATATGTTGTCATATTTTACATCCTTTTCCTGAATTTTCTTATGTATAATTATGGTCATTTCTTTTCCACTTAAAGAAATCCCTTTAGGGGCACCTGGCTGGCTTGTCATTAAGCGTCTGCCTTCGGCTCAGGTCATGATCCCAGGGTCCTGGGATCGAGCCCCGCATTGGGCACCCTGCCCTGAGAGAAGCCTGTTTCTCCCTCTCCCACTCCCCCTGCTTGTGTTCCCTCTCTCGCTGTGTCTCTCTCTGTCAAATAAATGAAATCTTAAAAAAAAAAAAGTCCCTTTAAATTTCTTATAAGACTGGTTTAGTGGTGATAAACGCCTATATCTTTTGTTTGTCTGGGAAACTCTTCTCTCCTTCAAATCTGAATGATAACCTTGCCAGGTATTCTTGGTTGTAGTTTTTTTTCCTTTCAGCACTTTGAATATATCACACCACTCTGTTCTCGTTTGCAAAGTTTCTTCTGAAAAAACAGCTGATAGTCTTATAGGTTTTTCCCAGTAGGTAACTTTTTCTTTCTCTCTTGCTGCTTTTAAGATTTTCTTTTTATCTTTAACCTTTGACATTTTAATTATTATGTGCCATGGTGTGGACCTCCTTGGCTTCATCTTGTTTGGAACTCTGTGATTTTTGGACTTGGATGTCTATTTCCTTCCCTAGGTTGGGAGTTTTCAGCTATTATTTCTTCAAATAAGTTTTCTACACCATTCTCTCTCTTCTTTTTCTGAGACCCCTATAATGTGAATGTTCACTTGATGTTGTCCAAGAGATCTTTTATTATTTATTTAAAATATTTTATTTATTTGAGAGAGAGAGAGAGAGAGCACAAGCAGGGGGAGTGGCAGAGGGAGAGGGACAGGGAGAAGCAGGCTCCTTGCTGAGCAGGGAGTCCTATGTGGGACTTGATCCCAGGATTCTGGGATCATGATCTGAGCCGAAGGCAGACGATTAACTGACTGAGCCAGCCAGGTGCATGTCCAAGAGATCTTTTAATCTGTCCTCAATTTTTAGTGTTCCTCTTTTTCCTCTTTGCTCTTTTTTCTGTTCAGCTTGTGTGCTTTCCAATTCCCTGTCTTCCAGATCACTGACACATTCTTCTGCATCCTCTAATCTACTGTTGGTTCTTTCTAGTGTTTTTTTTTTTTTTAATTTCTATTATCGTATTCAATTCTGATTTGTTCTTTTAAATGTTTTCTACCTCTTTACTGAAGGTCTCACTGAGTTCTTCCACTCTTTTCTCCAGTCCAGTATCTTTATGATTACCACTTATCAGGCATGATTGCTTATCTCTTTCATTTAGTTCCTTTTCTGAGGTTTTTTCCTTATTCTTTCTTTTGGAGTATATTACCCTGCCTCTTATTTTGCTCCACTTTCTGTATTTAGTTCTATGGACTAGGCAAAATGGCTACTTCTAATGGTGAAGGAGTGGTGTTCTGTATGATGTCCCCTGTGCAGAATGTGTGTGCTTTGTGATTTTTTGCTGGCTGGATGGAGCTGTGGCTGTATATGCTACTTATTCCTTTAAACTGTGGCTTTTTACAGAAAGAATAAAGAAAAAATAATAACAGGAAAGAAAAAAGAAAACCAACGACAAAGAGAACAAGAACAAAACCAAAAAAACCCCACCCAAACAATAAAAGACAAACTTTAAAAAGTAAAATAAAGTAAGGGAAAAATTTAAACACCCCACAAAATCACTGCTTGTTTTTTTGTGCCCTGGCATCACAGGGAGGCTGGTGTGGGCTCGTGGACCCTGGGCACGCTGAGGTCCCAAGCTCACAATGAGCTGGACCCTGCTCTGGTCTGCGCCTCTAAGGTGGGAGAGAATATTCCCACAGTTCTTCAGTCCTTTTAAACTCTGGCTTTTTTTCTAAGTTCCAGTGCAACTGGAGCCTGGTATGGGCTTGAAGACCCTGTGCTTGCTGAGGTCGCCAAGCTCCCCGTGACTACTAGACCCTCTAATGATGGCATCTGAACCCGCCCTTTACGGTGGTCTCTGGCTCCAGTCTGGGCTTTTAAGGTGGGGGGAAGAGGAGCACTGCTGCACTTCCTTGGCCCTTTTACACACTGGCCTTTTCTCCTGTGCCACAGCACAATCGGGCTTGTGTGGGCCCGCACACCTTGGACTTACTGAAGACTCCAAGCTTTTTGTGAGATCGGACCTGCCAGTTATGGCGTCAAGACCCACTAATTATGGCGTCAGAGCCCGCCCCTTCCGGCATCCAGACGCTGCTTGGGTCTGGGCTTTTAAGGTGGAGGGGTTGAGAGCGTTCTAGCAGCTCCTGAGCCCTTTTAAACCCCCCTTCTTTTTCTGTGCCCCAGCGTGACTAGGCTGGGGTGGGCTTCCACCCTCCGGGTGCAGCGAAGTCACAAGCTCACGGAGAGGACCGGCCGCCCGTTGTGGTGTCCCTGACCCTGCTCCCGTCTGGGCTTGTAAGGTAGGACGGGAATGTAAACGGTATCCTTCTCCAGACCCTCTGACCTGGAGAGCTTTCCTGGGGCTCCTCCACTGCTTGGCAGAGATCTAGCTTTGTCTCTTTTCTCTGCTAGTTCTTTTAAACCCCAGCTTTTTCTTTTCCTGATCCCACCCGTGCTTTCCCTCCCCACTGCCCTCCCCACTGCCGAGTGGGGATGAGGGTTCCCTTCCTTACCTTGTCTGCATCTCTCCGGCTGGGCTTTCTATGGTTGTTCAGTAGCTGTTCGGTTGGCTCTCAGTTCCGCTTCAGGACTGATTGTTCTGTCCATAGGTGTAATTTGGTGTGTTCTGTGGCGGAGGTGAGTTCAGAGTCTTCCTAGCCACCATCTTGAACCAGAACCTAGAAGCAGGTGTCTGTGTGGATAGATTTTAAAATGTGCAAAGCAGCAGCCCATCCAGTGACTCATCGTAAGAAAATGAAAAACTGCTGGGAGTGGTTATGGACAATATGGGGCAGGTGATCTTATTCCATTCCTAGTATAGACCCGAGCACCCACATTCGTTTTATGTATTTTTACACTAGAGAAATTTTTCCTGTTTCCTGAACACTTTAAGTTGAAAAAAAAAAACCACTTTTTTCCTTCGGATTGATTTTGTTAGATGTTATCAAAATTCTGTGAGCTTATTTTTAAGTTGAAGATTTGGTTGTCTTTCAGAAAGCATCTTTGGGAAATTAATGTACGTATAGTAAATGTGGACGTATATTCCTCCAAAATAAAATTCTTGGCGTTTATAAAACAACGAAGACGTTAAGTTAAAATCCAAAGTTTTAGTAACTAACTGAAAATTTGTAATTGACTTTAGTTAAACCAATAGTCACAGTGGTAGCACCTATAGGCTTAATTTTAACTTCCAGGATATTAAACAGATGATTAGCTGGACCTATGAAAGAGACTGCCAGAGGAGGTGGCAGGCATTGTGTTAGAACTGTAATAGGTAGAAGGAAATCTTAAAGAGGCTGTGGATTTTTTGTTTTTAACCCTGTGAACTAGCGCATATAGTAGCTAGCTCTGTGCCGAAGTGCATGAAATAAGATTGGGTTGATGTGTAATACGTTTACACGAGGAAGAAAAATTATGCCTTTCAAGTTATTACAAGGATTACAGGCGAGTATGTTAGGCATTTCTTTCAGGAGGAAGCTCTGTGTGGGAATCCTTTTCTTTTTGAATAGTCCAACCTTTAACAGTGGAGCTTAAAAGGGATCAAAGAAAGATATTTTTTTCCCTCACAGAATTATATGCTCAAAAGTGAGAGTTTTAAAGGCATATAATGGCAGGGGCACCTGGGTGGCTCAGTTGTTAAGCGTCTGCCTTCGGCTCAGGTCATGATCCCGGGGTCCTGGGATCGAGTCCCACCCACATCGGGCTCCCTGCTCCACGGGAAGCCTGCTTCTCCCTCTCCCACTCCCCCTGCTTGTGCTCTCTCTCTCTTGCTGTACCTCTTTCTGTCAAATAAATAAATAAAATCTTAAGAAGAAAAAGCATATAAAGGCAAATGGAGGAACATTTTTATTACATTTATTGCCACGTCATTGTGCCAATTTCTGGAGCAGAGGATACAGGGAGACTGGTGCTGCATCACTCACGCCCCCTAGCAAGCTGCTTACCACCCCTTTGCTTTGCCACTCAGAGCTGCATGCCTATGTTTGGGGCCTCCCTTGTCTTGTTCCCTGAAGAGCGCCTGCTACAGCCAACCTGTGGGAATTGTTCCGTCAGTCCTCAGAGGGAAGACTCTTTCATTCTCTACAAAATGCTACATGAGTGATCAACACTGTGTTATGAACTGGTTAGACATTTTAATTTTTATATTTTAGAAACCATAATGGTACTAAAGCAGAAATTGCGCTTTAGTATTGAGACAGCAGAAACAGATAAGAGGAAATTTTGAAATTGAACATTATGAATTAGGAAAAATCTGAAATCAACTTAAATACAGTATTTATATTCTAGTCTGTGGAGACATAAAGAAAAGTGGTACAATTTCTGTCCTCAGGGACCGGAGCAGTCAGGATAGACCAGGTAAACTTGCTGCTGGCACAAACCAAAGGGCTGGCAAAAAGGATGTTGTCAAAGCCTGTCCTTTAATGCCTGCTGATCACTAGCAATGCCTTCAGCTGCAGCATCTTGGAAAAGGAAGGAGAACCACTGGGTTGCTGGGAAATGTGAGAGAACAGCTCTGCTATCCACAGTAACAGCTGAGATGCTTTCTTCGTTCTTGCTCTTCTTTCTTTGAAAATGTTGGCTCTCCTGCTCCCTACTTTATCACCACTTTATAGAACACCTCTGACTGTAGAACACCATCATCTCTTGCAGGACTCAACAGTCTTCCTTTTGCTGATCCACACAGTACTTACTGGCAGGGCTTGTCACACTTCCACAGTATCTTAGCAATTGTCCCCTTTCTTTCAGTTCACCACCGTCCACCTTATTCGGTCCCTTGGTATGTTGTAAAGAGACCATTGTCAGATAGAAGTACCTGGTTCTCCAGCCCCCTGCACCTCACTCCCATGGTAGCATGGAAGTGATGGGAGTCTTGTGAGGAAGTAACTGTCATTTTAGGATTTCTGCTAGCCAAGGAGGAGGAAAGCTTGGAATGCTAAGACAAGTACTCAACTTTTAGAGAAAGCAGATTTCAATGAATTCAAGAAAAGATGGTTATAATTCTACTGAAGGGGGGATTCAAAGGGATGAGTGAGCTGTCAAAATTATTGTGTATATTGAAGACAAAAAGAGAAGGCTTCTAGAGCTAACATGGCAGCACTCTCTTCCGAGAAACTCACATTTAAAAAGGGCATGTGCCAAAAAGTGGAAAGAGAGGCCTGTCGCCAAAGATTATGTGAAAGAGAGGCAAGGGAATAACAGAGAACAGAAAGAACAAAGGCCAGAGTGTGCTGAGGCTTTTAAGGAAAAAAAAGATTAAGGGCAGATGATGGAGGGCTTTTGACTTCGGAGCAAGAACAAGAAGGAAGAGGCCGGTTGCTTCAGGCCAATGGTGTAATGTTGATGGATAATGTGAAGAAAGCAGAACTCCTGTCTTCCAGTTTCTCCTGTCTTCTCTGTTAAAGAGAGCTGTCTTTGGACTAAACAGGGTAGAATGAACATTGTTAAGAGAAGAATTGAAACCCAAGATGGGTGAAGAGATTCTGCAAAAGCATGCTTTGGCTGTAAATGAGCCCAGGGTTCTGGCTCTGAATGAATTACAGTGCAGGGCTCTGAGAAAATGTGCCAGTGAGCTTACCCACCTAAGGAGGGGGAGCTTTGAGGGTGGAGAAAGGGAGAAAAGCAGGCTGGCTGGAGATAGGTAAATTCTACCACCTGGAAACTATAGAATCCAAATTTGTAAAGGGCCTAAATATCTAGTTTAATCCATATCCAATGCATTATGACATGTACAAGTAAGTGTTTTATGGATATTCAAGGACACCTTTGATAGGCCCAGCTTATCTGTCTAGTATGTGATCCCCTTCCTTAGCACCATAATAAGCCCTTAATGTGGGCATTATTTTACAGCTGTCAAATAATCCATTCCTTTCTCCCTTTCTTTTCTCTTTCCATAAACATTTGTTGAGTGCACACTATGTTGTATTGTCTAGGGAGATCAATATGACATAGTTGCCCTATAGTTCTTACAGTTAGAGGAAAAAATAAGAATTTAGTTCGTTCTTTATTCAACAAATATTAAGTGGCCCACTGTGTGCTGGGCACTCTTCCAGGTGCTAGAGATAGGGTTTTGAATAAAACCAAAGCCCTGCCCTCATGAAGCTTATAGTAGAGGACAGATAGATGACTAGCAGTAAATGTAATATTTAAATTATATAGTATACTCGAAGGTGCACATGCCGTAAGAGATGTGTCAACAGATGGGTGTGGTGATGTGTAAGGCTCTTTGCGGACAGTGGGTGCACAGAGGGAGGAGGAGTAAATTCTCCTTGGGTGCTTGAGGACCTGATCCATGAGCTTAATCTTGAAAGATGACTGGTTATGAAAATAGCTAGTTGCTTTAGGGGAGGAGTACAGCTCATATTCCAGGAAGTAGGAGATATTTAGTCAAAGAAGTGTAAATGGAAACAGTGGAATGTGTTAGGGGGACGATGTCTGAGTAATCAGCATCATTTCATTTGATACCAACAGCTAGAGGTAGGGATATTTTTTTCTTTTTCCTTTTTCCTTCTCCCTCCTCCTCCCTATCTATCCCCCTGCTCTTTCTTCTTCCTGTGATGATGAATACTGTTGACTCCTGTTGAGTTTACCATTAGCTAAAATCTTTAACCTTTCCACTCACTTTATTCCTGAGCCATATCACCCTAATCTTTATTTGTTGGAATATTTTGTATTCTCAATAACCTTGTATGAGTTTATGTTGTGTGGGTTTTATGTTTTGAAGAAGAATTGAAGTAACTAAAGTGATTAGGCTGGAGAAGTGAAAACTCCAGAAATGAATGACAGTTGCCTCCCCATATCTGAAGGTCCATCACAGGGAAGAGAGCTCCATTTTCCTTCTTTGTGGTTGTTCTTACTAGTCGGTGGGACTTTAGGGATGTAGATTTCAACTCCAAGCTAAGAAAAGCTTCTAGAAGTTGATCTGAGAATTGGCCAGATACACTTCTCAAAGTGTGGTTTGGATCTCCAGGAATCTCTTGGAGAGATGGGGAGGTCTTGGGCAAAATACAGACTCCAGGGCCCCATCCTGGACTTTATGAACAGGCGGCAGGCATCTGCATTATAATAGGTTCCCAAAGAAGTCCTTATGTACACTGAAAACTTTAGGGAAGAGAGTTAATCTTTTCTTTGAGAGGCCTTCACATCTTGGAAGCCTTTGCTCCTAGAAGAAGACCTTAGAAAGGGGAGCCAGAGAACACTCATTTTCTTTAAAGAGCCTGATGACTCTGTAATTAGGGTGACCATAGAACTTACCATTCAAACCAGAACACTCTTGAGAGTGAAAGGAGGTACTAAAAATAACTATATATTTTTGAAATGTTTATTTAATGACTGATAAAGTAGTTTCATTATGTTGATGGACCCATAAAAGTTATATTCAAGAACTACTTAAACATAATTTTTTCCTAAAATGTATAATAACATCTATGTGTGTACATTAGAATAAACTTTAAAACTGCTTTTTATTGAAAAGTGAACATTAAAAAAATTAGAATCATTATTCACTCCTTTAAATCAGTTCTTTAAAACACGTTTATCTCACATACCATGGCACTGTATTTTTCTGAAGATGTGGGCTTTTTTCTCCCATATGATCTTGCTATTTAAACTACAAAAAAAAATTACCTGAATTTTTCTTTAAAGTTGCATTTTTATGGCTAACAAATTTGAGATGAACTTTCAATTAACATTTCTGTAGACCATATTATGTTGGAGACTGTACTTTCTCTAGCATACTTAATAGGATCAGAATAAATTCCAAGTGGGTGATATTCTCAATTCTAATGTAGTTTCAAGGGTACTTTTGCTTCCTTTCTTCAGGAGGTATTTTTACGAGGCTGAGCTTGTCAAGTTAGCTGTCTCTATTTTGCCAAGTTTATATTTTGCAAAAATTTAATTCTTAATTTTATCCTAGTCTGGTACAATGAAAGATAGAAACTCTATAAAAAAATTCTTTCTACAAATTGAGATATTCTAAATGCAATTCTGGACTTTAATAATTGAATCTTACACATCATTTGAATTGTCAGTATTTAATTTGTTCAACTCTTTTCTTGCTTTTGTGGGAACAAATTTTAGTGTCTTGCTGTTATTAAACCTTGTTACCGATAATCCCAGTTTGCTGAGATTCTGGGAAACTGAAGTTTGATCTTGCGTTCACTGAAAATGTTGGTAACAAATTTTCTAAAACTGATTTGGAGAAATATGGCCCAAATTTAGAAGGCTCTTTTGTAAAGAGTTCAACACCATCATCAGACACTTAGATTGATTTACAAATTATTTTTTCAAAGGATCAAATTTTTCTAAAATCCTACTTATGGCAGCTGGCAAAAAGAGAAAATACATACTGCTTTGCATTCAGAATCAGACTTTTCACAATGTATAGTTATTCTAAGTGTATATGTATATACACACACTAATATTTGTAGACTCTTGTAGCCACTGCTACTCTTTTGAAATGAGTGCAAGTGTAAATTATGTTGCACTACACCTAATTCTGAGCACATTTCTACTGCATAAGTTTTTTTTTTAGAGAAAATGTAGTTTTACCATGGTACTCTGCTCCATCACATTTGTACTTGGGGTGCCTGGGTGGCTCATTCAGTTAAGCATCCGGCTTTTGGTTTACGCTCAGGTCATAATCTCATGGGTTGTGGGATCCAGCCCTGTTGATGGGCTTCATGCTCTGCAGGGAGTCTGCTTGAGGATCCTCTCTCTCCCTCTCCTTCTGTTCCTACCCCTGTGCATGCGTGCATGCATGCGTGCGTGCTCTCTCTTAAAAAAAATTGTACTTACGTTATTATGCAAGGATAGCTTTATCTTTAGTTTGGACTAAGAACTGAATTTACAGCAGCAGTGATTCATTTAACTGAGTTTATTTTATTTATTTGAGAGAGAGAGAGGGAGAGAGAGCATGAGCAGGGGGAGGGGCAGAGGGAGTAGGGAGCCTGACGTGGGGCTTGATCCCAGGACTCTGGGATCACCACCTGAGCCGAAGTCAGACACAACCTGAACTGAACCACCCGGGTGCCCCATTTAACTGAGTTTATAATGGCATCTCACTTTTAGTAATGTCAGATGTTCACCTTCAACAGAATAAAATCCCAAATGCTTTACTTTGGTACCATGAATTAAAATGTAAAAAAAGGAATCATTATTGAAAATAACTGTTGTTTTTCAGTTTATAGCATCTGATTATATTTATATAAAAGTGGCATCATTTAGGGTGCCTGGGTGGCTCAGTCGTTAAGCGTCTGCCTTCGGCTCAGGTCATGATCCCAGGGTCCTGGGATCGAGTCCCGCATCGGGCTCCCTGCTCCGTGGGAAGCCTGCTTCTCCCTTTCCCACTCCCCCTGCTTGTGTTCCTGCTCTCGCTGTCTCTCTCTGTCAAATAAATAAATAAAATCTTAAAAAAAAAAGTGGCATCATTTAATTACTTGAAATTATTTTCTGCCAGGGGAGCCAGCACATTAATATCTATCTACACTTTTTGTATGTGCACAAGAAAAATAGAATGAAATTAATATATTAAATTGATTAATAAATAGAAATCAATAAATTAATGAGAATTAGTAGAATAAAGTTAATTTAGAACAGCAGTTATTTGATCTAAATGAAAATCTTGCTTTCCTCCATATTTTCTTGCAGCCCACTGAAAAGATGTCTCCCAACCTCACTTGTCCGCCCTATCAATATCTGGAATTGTCAGTGTGTGCTCACCCTTGGAGCACATTTTATGTCCAGGAGAATAGAGTTCTGTGATTAGTCAGACTGAAATACTGCTTTCACCATTCCCTCTTGTTATTCTACTAGATATATGTCCAACTTTTCCTCATGTTCTATGTTTCTTAATCCCTCCTGCATATTTTATATTCCTTTGTATTTGTGCTGCAGTTTGTGCAATTTCCTCAAATATATTTGGGGTTTCCTAATTTTCTCTTGAGCTGGTTGTCATCTGCTATAATTTATTCATTGAATTTTTTAATTGTAAGAAGTAATTTTTTGAAATACAACAGCTTATTTTTTTAATTTTATTTTTTATTGTTATGTTAATCACCATATATTACATCATTTGTTTTGGTGTAGTGTTCCATGATTCATTGTTTGTTCATAACACCCAGTGCTCCATGCAGAATGTGCTCTCTTTAATACCCATCACCAGGCTAACGCATCCCCCTACTTGTCTCCAATACCTTTATTGTGGTTAAAAAACGCATACCATGAAATCTACCCTCTTAGTAGAAAAAATTTTTTTTAAAAGATTTTATTTATTTGACACAGAGAGAGAAAGCACAAGTAGGCAGAGTGGCAGGCAGAGAGAGGGAGAAGCAGGCTCTCTACTGAGCGGGGAGCCGGACGTGGGGTTCCATCGCAGGACCTGGGGATCATGACCTGAGCTGAAGGCAGCCACTTAACCGACTGAGCCACCCAGGCGCCCCTCTCTTAGTAAAATTTTAAGTGCATAGCACTGTATTGGCTGTTTATAGGCACAGTGTTGTATGGAAAATGCCCAAGAACTTTTTCATCTTGCATGATTGAAACTGTATAGCCATTGAACAATAACTCCCCATTTCTCCCTCCCTCAACCACTGGCAACCACCATTCTACTCTCTGCTTCCATGAGTTTGACTGTTTTAGATAACTTCTGTAAGTGCAGTATTTGTCCTTCTGTGCCTCGCTTATCTCACTTAGCTTTTTGTCCTCAAAGTTCATCCATTTGAAGCATATGACAGGATTTCTTTCTCTTGAAAAGCTGAATAATATTCCATTTTTTTATATACCACATATTCTTTATCCATTCATCTGTTCACAGACACTAGGTTTTTTCTACCTCTTTCATGTCGTGAATAATGCTGCTATAAACATGGGAGTGCAGATAGTCTCTTTGAGATGCTGATTTCAATTCTTTTGGATAAATACCCTGAAGTAGGATTGCTAGGTCCTATAGTAGTTCTATCTTTAGTGTTTTGGGGGCCTTCCATACAGTTTTGCAGCTGCATTGTTTTACGTTTCCTCTAATAGCACACAGAAATTCCAGTTTCTCCATATCCTCACTAATGCTTGTTATTTTTTGTTCTTCTGTTTTATTTTTGAGAATGGCCATCTTAACAGGTGTGAGGTGCTCTCTCATTCTAGTTTTGACTTGCAGTCTTCTGGTGATTAGTGATGTTGAGAATCTTTTTCATATACTTTTATATTCGAATTAATGTCTTTTTTGCTAGAGTTGTAGGGGTTCCTTACATATTTTGGATTTAACCCCGATCATATTTTTGGTTTGCAAATATTTTCTTCCATTCTGTGGGTTGCCTTTTTATTCTGTTGGTGGTTTCCTTTGCCTATTTATGTAGTCCCACTTGTCTCTTTGTTCTTTGTGGTCATATCCAAGAAATCATAGCCAAGACCAATGTTACAAAGTTTTCCCCTATATTTTATTCTAGGAGTTTTATTTATAGTTTCAGGTCTTACACGTAAGTCTTTAATCCATTTTGAGTTGATTATTGTGTGTGGTATAGGATAAGAATCCAATTTTATTCTTTTGCATGTGGATATCCAGTTGTCCCAGCATCATTTGTTGAAGAGACTGTCCTTTCCCCGTCGTATAGTCACGGCACCTTTGTCAAAGATCATTTGGCATTTTGTATGTGTGGGTTTATTTAGGGGCTGTTCTGTTCCACCACACTGTTTCAATTACTAGCTTTGTAGTATGTTTTGAAGTCAGGAAGGATGAGGCCTCTAGCATTGTGTTGTAGATTGTTTTGGAATAGCTATTTTTTTTTTAAGTTTGAAGGTAATATGTGTTTTGTTTTTGTTTTTCACCCTTCTCTTCTTTTTCCTAGTTCTCAGCTCTTCCATTTTAGTTTGGTTCTTATTTTATGATCTCTTTCAGAGTATTTTGTCAACTACCCTAGAACATGTGGTGTTAAATCTACTAATGGTTGTGTATGCTATTCTCCTTCAAGTAATTTCATTTCATGTGTGTTTTGTAAATTTTTACTGCAAGCTCCTGTTAAACTGGGATTGTTTTTCCCATATAAGTCACGTACTCCCTTGTGGCTCAATTTTTGCATTTACTCTTGCTTGGGCTTCAGGGGATCCCTAGTACTAGAGCAATTTTTATAATATTCTCTTGGTTTGAATTTATTATATTCCTTGGGCATTATAACTTCTGATACCATGGCTGGTGTTGGGTTTCCATTTCATGGAAGATTTTGTTTGTTTTCCACCCAGATTCCCAGCAATTTGTAAGCTTTTTTTCCCTTTT